AAAAGTTTTACTTATAGTAAAATTACTGCTCCTTAAACACTTTAGGTTTAAGGAAAACCATAATTTAAATGAATAATTATTGTAAAGTTGGTTATAACTTCAGTGTAAGGACGTGAGGACTTTTAATCTGAAATTGAAATTTTGGGTTGTTTTTGTCTCCAGTGCTTCACCTGGACTTACGTCCTCGTCTCTGACCCGGACTGCTCCAGCACGAGGGTGATTCTCAGGAGGATCCCGTCTGCAGCTGGATCTTCAGGAGGTTCATCACCCTGGTCCCCGCCTGTAACTCCTCTTAGTTCTCCTTCTTCTCCTGCTGAGGTAATTAATAATATATTTTCTATTAAATCAACAGTTTGTACGTATTAATATTTAATCTCAGTAATTTTTAAGTTCTTTCAAACCCATTTTATTTACTTAAAATAAAATCACTGCTCCTTAAAGACTTAAGGTTTAACGGAAAGTCTTTTTGTGCTTAATAGTTATTGTAATGTTGGTTATAACTTCAGTGTAAGGATGTGGGGACTTTTAATCTGAAGTTTAAATTTTGGGTTGTTTTTGTCTTCAGTGCTTCACCTGGACTTCCGTCCTCGTCTCTGACCCGGACTGGTCCAGCCCCAGGCTCACCTTGAGGAGGGTCCCTGCAGCAGCCAGCTCTTCAGGATCGTCTCCACCCAGGTCTCCACCTGTATCTCCTCCTGTGTCTCCTCCTGTGTCTCCTCCTGGCTTTCCTTCTACCTCCCTTCTCCTTGACCTACAAGTGAGCTCCTCCTCGTGCCCCTCTTTCCCCTCCTCCTGTTTCTCCTCTCCCTGTTCTTCCCCAGCCAGGTCACAGAGGAGCCCAGTGAGAACCAGCCGCTGCCCCTTCCCCTGCCTTCCCCTGATGATTGCTGAGGAGGAGCAGTGGCCTGGTGTGGAGCCTGAGAAGCAGCAGAGGATCAGCCCCTGTTCCAGACCAGCGGAACCGAGCCAGCCTCCAGAAGATCTCCCCTCTTCTTGTTTCTTGATCTCCACAGGTCCTGAGCCGAGGTGGAAGAAGAATCTGAGGGCCCTCTTGACCTTCAGGAAGCGGCAGCGTGGCGGCGGGGCGGCTCCACGGGCGGAAGGAGAGCCTCCACGGAAGCGTCCTCACAAGAGATAAGCTATACCGTGATGTGTACATAATGATAAGATAGAGTAAGATAAGTTAAGTTTAGATAAGTTTAGTTAAGATAAGATAAGATATTTTACAGACTAAGGTTGTGATGTGTTGTGATGTTGTTTTCACATAAAACAACATGTAGAATCTCTAATTAGCTCTTTTGGCAGCTAATGAATTAGCAAAGGGCACAGACTGTTTGGTCAGATAACTTGGTGTTTGTTAACATCTCACTCCTCTCCAGCTCACTCCTCCTCTCAAAATATGGTCACAGATGGAAAAACGTCTCTCATGTAGGTTCTTATGTAGCGCTCCTCCTCAGCTCCAGGCTCTCCTCAAAATATGGTCACAGATGGAAAAACGTCTCTCATGTAGGTTCTTATGTAGCGCTCCTCCTCAGCTCCAGGCTCTCCTCAAAATATGGTCACAGATGGAAAAACGTCTCTCATGTAGGTTCTTATGTAGCGCTCCTCCTCAGCTCCAGGCTCTCCTCAATATATGGTCTCAGGTTTCAGGTAAAAAGGTCTAAAAAGGCAACAAATCAATATGTTTATTTTACAGTCTATGGTTATGACGTGTTTTGATGTGGTGTTATCACCTACTATAACAAGTAGAAACTCATTCTGGAAACTTGTTCTTTAAGCACATAATGAAATCGACAATCGGCACAGACTTTTGGTCTGATAACTCAGCGTTTGCTAGCTTCTTGCTCCTCACCAGCTCCTCCTCTCCTCCAAATATCGTCACAGATATGAAAATTAAAAACCCAGGATTTAAATCAGCTTCTTCACTTACTGTACATGTATCGTTGGCTTGTTGAGTGTTTGTAATGTATTCCTTCCAGCTCTTGTATGAGACTCAAGTTTGTTGACTTATTCTGGTTAGAAGCTCCTTCACCAGCTGAATTCACAATAGGCTCCTACTGTCGGGTAACTTTATGGTAACATTTGTTGGTACTGTAACCTCTTGCTCCTCTTCAGCTCCTCCTCCCGTCTAAATATGGTAAACTCTGGCTCCTAAAAAATTCAACATGACAGCAGCAAAAATGCAAAACTTGAAGCTTTAAAAACATACAAAATACAATGTGATGTAATGATTTTTTTGATTTTAACAATATATATATTTATATATTTAAAAAGGCAACAAACCAATATATATATATATATATATATTATGTTGTTATTTTATGTCATGTGTTGTGCTGTGTTATGTGTATTTTCTGTTGTGTTGTGTTGTCATGGTTTGTGTTGTGCTATGCTGTGTTGTGTTGTCTTGTGTTGTGATGCGTTTTGTTGTGTTGTGATGGTTTGTGTATAGTGTGTGGCTGTGTTGTGTTCTGTTGCAATGTGTTGTCTAGTCTTGCGTTGTAATCGGATGTGTTGTGTTGTGTCATGTCACATTATGTGATATGATGTGATGTGATGTGATGTGATGATTGATGACGTCACATCATGTCAGGTTATGTCATATGATGTGAGCTAATGTTTTCATCAACATGAACTTTTGGTTCATTCAATGCCACAGCGTCTCTTTGATTAATTCACTCAGAAGACAGGTGAGAACTTAAAAGGTGAGTTTGAGTCCAACACAATTTTTTTGTTGTGCGTAGGATCCTTTTTGATTTGTTTTTTCTTCTTCCGTAACAGGAGCTGAAATCAAAAGAAGAGACAGGAAGCAGCACAAAGGAGACAGGACGCAGCATTGACGAGCTGAAGGATCAAAGACGCCCCAGCAGTGAGAGAGAGAGGGCCAGATACAAAGAAAGATGTGTGGTGTCAGAGATTACATGGAAGAGTAAGGTAAGAGTAATTAGTAATGGTATCATATTTCATAAATTTGTAGAGAATGTATGTTAGAAAACAGAGTAAAATCAAATACTCTATATTTACTTATTTGTCATTCTGTGGCAGCACATGTCACTATTTTTTATCAGATGTCACCTTGTTGTGTGCATAAACATTCAGGCTAAATACACACAAACTGTATAACTGCATTATAAACATATACATATATTACTGTAACATTTGCTTTTTTATCAATTTATTCATGTGTAACATTTGTACATTTGACGTATGTCCAATAAACCTTTTATATTGTTTGTTTGTTTCAGCTGAGACCTCAAAGCAAACAGACGACCCGACCACACACTCCGATTCAAGAGGAGACAGACGAGTTTGGAGACAACACAAGAGCTGTGGACAATGTTTTGCATGATTAGGCTGCAAGCCAAATCTGAATAAACATTCGTAATCTTTTCTGTCAACTAGTGGTATTTCTCTTTAATCTGATTGAGGGGTAATTTATATAACCCTAAAAGATCTCCTTTTTATGGAAAAAACAGGTTTACTCAAAGTTGTTTAATATCTCTGAATTCTTTTATTTTAAGTTTATGTTTTGCAGTTATCATACTCCATATGCAGTATAGTCCTAGTTTTATTCCAACACACAAAGAATTGCATGTGTTAAAAAAAAATAATCTGCAACTAATAACCCACAACATCCTCCACTAGAGGGAGCACTTTATATGAGCATATGCTTCCCACCCCTGCACGTTCAAGAACAATCTTTGCCTGACATCAGAATGAATCTACCTTGACCTTTAAAAAAAAAAAAAAAAAAAGTTTAACATCCTGTATGAAGTTTGGTAGGAGGATCCTCATCCTCTCTGACCTTAAGTTATTCATGTAGCAGCCGTTCCAGACCTTCAGTAATGCTCAGAGCTGAAACTGAAGATATTCAGGGTGCAGATCTCAGTGCCGTCTGCTCCTTCTGCTCTGCTGACCAAAACATGTGAGGAGACTGAGCAAAATCAGTTTACAATGCACCAAGAAGCCTCTCCTGCCTGGTCCTGCAGAGACGATGTAGAGGAGCAAAGTCAATTCAAATGAGAGATAATCATGTGGGCACTTATCAAACCACCTTTTCATAAAGAAGCTGTGTGTGTATGATGAAAAGTTTTTACCTGACACAAGGTTGCTTCACACATCAGGTTCCAAACTTTTTATGAACTGAAGACTCAGAGAGAAAGGTAGGCTATAATCTATCATTTTAGTACCAAGCCTAATGTCAGCGCCTTTCTAATTTCACGTGGAACTCAACCTCAGCCTACCATTCTCTGTAATTTAATGTTGAAGCCACATTTCCTTGGACTTTCATTTCCCCATCGTCTTCCGTTCTCGGTTATTGGATGTGTAGGCTACGCTTCCGCAAACGCTGCCATGAACTGCCACATGAGCAAGCCAAGCCACAAAAAACAGTATCAGCAAAATAATTATCTCCTGTAAATAATACAATATTCCTGTTTCAGTCATAGAGCTGACTCTGCCCTTCAGCTGTGTCACTGTTTTTCCAAACCTTGGGGCGGGGTGGATGATATCAATCCTTAAAAAAATATTTTTAACAATAAAAAAAGCATTCATTTAAAATAAAGTGGCATTAATGTGACATCTGAAGTTGGTTTCCAAATAATAGTTTAGCCTCATGTCTAAATCTGAGCAGGTGACAAAAGAAAGTCATTTCATTTTTATCACTCAAAGAATATTGCTTATGTTGACGTTTGATAATGAAGAAAATGAGTTTGCTCACAATGTTGGAGCAGAACTTTATCAAGGACTTTGTGGGATTTTACCAACTGTGCCTGTCTGACATCTCTTGCACTCTTCTGTCAATAAGTGAGCTGTCATTTGCCTATAAAACTTGTTGGAGTGGGACCAAAAACAATTTCTCCCCCCCGTTAAATGTAGCCGTGTAGATTTGGACATCAACTTTAGTTAGACAAATGTAAATAGATATAGAATTAAAATAGGCTATTATGGAGACTGACATATGTGGTAAGTACACACATTAACAAAGTAACACAAACACAATCTGTCAAAGCGGTTTTAATAGGCGTCACATGAAGGAAAAGGCTCCCACTATTAAAATCCTCAGTCATCCTATATGCAGGTGCTTGTAAAAACACGCTCACCTAATTCCCATCATCAAGTGCCGACATGAGTCAGTTGGTATTGAACACAGTGTCAAATGTTTGTTCACAAGTTCAGCATCAGTTCAGTAATTATTATCACAAAAACACAGGACTCAGATCTCAGCCCTGTCCTCGGAACACGGTTGTCAGTCTTATTTTGTTAGTCAAAGTGAATTCACACATGTTGATGAATGAGACTATAGTGAGGGGAACTATGCCAGCGTTAGTCTTCCTGTGGTTTACCTGAGCTCAGAGTGATGGCTGAATTAGACCGCTGCGCCTACACCTACCTGCCTGCCTATGTTGTAAAATGAATCTGCAGCGACAGGCTAGCTAGCATTCAGCACTACCTGTTAGATAAGATGATTTCATAGACATCTCCTATACCAAACGTTTCATTAATAAAAATACACCTGAATTCTCTTTATGTACAACAGGAAAAAACAGTTTCACCTGCATATTCAAGAATCATTTTAATATTATGTATAGATTTTCTGTAGTAGAAATATCACTATTTTCTGAAATGAGGATCTTTGAACTAATGTAATGATAATTTCACCCATAAATCATTGAAGTACAATATTTACATATAATACAGAGCCCATTTAATTTGAAACAATATTAAAATAAATGTTTAATAGATACAAAGGTTTTTCTTCTTAAATTCTATTTATATTTCAACCTTGTCAAGGAGTCCTTACACACTCCAAAAATGTAAAGCCATTCTCCTCTAACAAACTATTAAGTGCAAACAATTTTTTTTCCATATAAAAAACTATAATGATTGCAGCATCCAGCGTCGAGACAGAGGGCAATAACAAGCCGATCCCTCCCCTCCCCCCACAAGTGCTTCTGCAACCTGTCCCCAAAATATTTTGCTTGGTTTCCACCATCATGAATTCCAAAAATGGGAAAAGATTGAAGAAAACAAAAAAAAATCTGTGCAAATTCACTTTAAAGTGTGATACCTCTGATTCTAATACATGTGAGGGGAAGGGGAAGGGGGGTGAGGAGCCCCAGTCTTTGTTGAACTCATGTTAAAGACTGGGGCTGCACAAGGAATCACCTTGGTAGTGACAAATTAAAGACTTGGCATCAGGGGTGTGCTGCTGCTCCAAAACAATCTTTTTTCCCTTTATCTGGTATACGTTTTGAAGAAACAGAATATGGGAAACATGTCAGAATTAAAACCTTTAAAAAGGTTAGGTGGAGGCATCAACACACTGCTTACTGCATGTCTAGTCTTATACGATCTACAGGCACAAAGGATTGGGTTCTAGAGTTTGTTATTTTCAGACTAGACGCCACTTGATATGACCACAGATGGAACACCGAGCCAGTCAACCCCTATTATAAACCTGGACGATTTAAAGCTTGCTCTCTTACTTCCAACAGAAAAAAAGGGGGTTCAACTTCTAACCCTGGCTTGGCCAACATCTCTTATCTAATCATGAGCAGTAAGACAAAGAGAGCGTCTGGGTGCTCGTAGTGACGAGAATGAAGGTGACACTGGAGGTCATGTGGTGTGTGACAGTGTGTGAAGAAGCGCTGCAGGGCCATGGCCTTGGTCATCCCCGTCTCTGTTGCATGGAGCTGTCATTAGCAGCACCTGCACTGGGGCTATACTACTGTTCCACTGGGGGAGTTGGCGGGGTTGTTTTGAGATGATAGCAATCCCTGTGGAGAAACAGATAACACACATTGATAACAAACAACAGTGTTACGTAAATATATTCAAAGAGGAAGAATAGTGAGGCCATGAGGTTTACTGTCGGAGAAGATGTGCTATTAACCATCAAAATGCTGAGGGTTTGGTTCAAATCTGGCGTGAAATAACCAAACCTTTGGCTGCACACAGTGGTGTTTACAGCTTCTGAATGCAGAGAGAAAATGGCTGTACGCAAGACAATGGAAGTTAAGAGGTGTCACATGACAGTATCCTCGAGAGGCCTGTCACTCACCACTTTCCCGGGCCTAGCCCATGTGCAAACGAAACCCTCCTGACAGGCTGTTACCAGACAGTCCTCAAGGAAGATTAACACAGTGAGTCTCTCGTGAGCGATCTTCTTGCACACCAGCGGCTCCAGCAGCGGCACGTCTTCCATCCGTGGGCACAGCATTGTGCCCAGAGTCTTTGCCACTTCTGCTTTCGCCGTTCGAGACGAGCTGAGCTGGTTGAGCTTGTCGCTGCTCTTGCTGCTGATGTGCCCCATGCTGTGGTTCCGCTTGTGGTCCTTCTCGTGGCGCTCCTTACGTGAGTCATGTAGCGACAGAGTGGCAAACTTGCTGACACCCGTAGCGATGAAAGCACTGTCGATGATGCTGTTGCCCTTGGTGCTGCCGCTGCTGTTGGTGCTGCTGCCTGTGTGGCTGTTGGGCGTGCTGCCACCTGGTGGGTTGGTGGCCTGGGGCAAGCTGTTGGACCGAGGAAGAGTGCCAGGGAGGGAGTTAGCAGGGTTAGCACTTGTACTGCTATTGCTCACAATGTCTTTACCATTGGTGCCACTGGGATTAGTAGTGGATATAGTAGTCGTAGTAGTAGTAGTTTGTCCAGTGGTTGGGGGGCTTGTGGCGTTCATTACATTAGTGTGAGTCCTTGTGCGGGACAAAGGGAGGTGAGGGAAGAGAATGTCTTCCGTAAGGTCCCACAGACACAGCTGGGTGTCCTGACCCACTGAGCCAAACCTGTATGTTACACTAACAGGTCGACTGTCAGTAGAGTTCCTCTTAGAAAGACGAGAGTGAGCGCTGTTAGCTCTGTCTCTGCCTGCACCAAAGTGAATCTGCTCATGGAATTCCTCATCACTGCCACTGAACTCAGCAGGGGGGTCACCATCCTCCACGCTGGTGGTGCAGTGGTCAAATGCCACCACACTCACCCATGACTTGTGACCGTGCCCTCGTGCAATTACCCTACAGTCTGAAAACGACCACACCGTCACCAGGTCATCCTCCCCTCCCGCCACAATGTATCGTCCGTCTGGGCTCCAGCAGACACACAGTAAGCCACCAAAGTAGCTCTTCATAGTCCCGTGGAGCTCTGCGGCGTCAAAGCCAAACACACGCAGGAAGCCATCCTGGCTCGCACAAGCCAGAAACTTCCCGTCAGGGGAAAAGGCAAACTCATTGAGCGCTCCTTCGCCAACAGTCCAGCGCAGTAGCGGGTTGCGGGCTGACTTGCTCTTGCATGTATGCACAGCATAGTTTTCACCCTGCTTCAGGAGCTGGTAGTGTGGCGCCGTGGTGCCACAGGTGTTTTCCACATTGTACAAGTACATGCTGCCGCTTGAGTGGGCCACCAAAAACAAGCTTTCTGAACCAGGAACCCATCGCACACACGTTACTCGTGACTTGTCGATAAGTCTCTGAGGAAGTAGGACAGAGAAAAAGGGAAAAAAAAGATCAGTCAGCTATGTATTTCATTATTTAATTGTGGAAAACTGAAACAAAATGTACATATGGTTTGAGTTATCTATGTATCCTTAAGCTGGCCCAACGAACTGATTGGTACCCACCTCTTCATTGAAGAGTTTGCTGGTTTCCTTCTTGATCGGGTCTATGAGCTGCACCTGACCTGCTGAGAAGCCCACGAGCAGGGAGACGCTCTCTGCTGTAGCTGTGAGGGGGTTGAAGTCATGACATGTGGGCTGCGTTCCTTTGTATATCCTCTTGTCTATGGGCTTACTAAGATCGGCAGCCTATGGGGAAAAAAAGAGGTTTATTTAAAAAAATACTGTTTTAGTTGTTGACTCTGCTAAGAAAAGACAAAACTATGAGTTTGACAAACATTAACCTCGCAACTACTTAAGGAAGAATGAGCACCAGCATTATACCAAAAACAAACTGTTTTTTGGCGACACACCTCTAACCCCTCTCCACTCGCGTTGCACAAGGAGTTATCAATTAGAATGCAGCATGATTAAGCACCATTAAGCGCAAGCAGCAGATAAAATATTCCATGGCTCGAGCTGCAATTGCCTGTGTCTTGCACTGTTGTGTTAGCATGCTTATGTTAGCACACTTTGGTCAACTCATAACTTCATATTAATAAATAAATAAACACGGAACGGTCGTGATTTAAAGAAAATTACGTGACATCGAAATAAGCAGTGAGTATGATATTCTTCTTTTTTCTAGTTCTTGATTAAACAAGCTTTATACGCAAGGCCGTCCCATCCATGTAAACACGTAAACACGGCATGACAACAACAGTACAGCTGGCGCGAATCACGCTTCTCACTCATTGCAGACTGCCATGACTCAGAGAGACATTCACCTCCAGTGAGTTATGCAACACAATGCAACTTATTTTGAACAAAACAAATCAGTGATGTTTTAATAAAATTAAAATATAGTGTTAATATTCTGTTTTTCCCTCATTGTATGTAACTCAATGTTTAATCTTAGACCTTTAGTTGAATGACGATAGTCAGTATTTCTTGCCAAACAATTGGTGATAACTGACTCTATTAATCCCTGACTAAAAGTCTATATTATTATTTCATGAGAAAAGAAACAATACAGTGACTTACACCTTTGGTAGGTGTTTACAAAACACCCAGATAGACCCAATGACCAGAGCTAATGCTAACTTAGCAGGAATCAATTTGCCATTGATTAGGTTTACAATTAATGGAATATTGTCAGTCAGTTTCAGCTACTAAGCCTTGTGATTGGCTGAGTGGTAATGATGAAATACAAAAAGAAAAACTAAGCATACACTGAGTATTTACACAAGTTACATGTAAACAGAATAAATTAATCCAAACTAAATAATGAACTGTAATTAAACAAGCAGTTGGATACACCTAAACTCCCTTTTATTTAGAAAGTGCTTTTAAAAATCTGAGTAGAGCTGACTGTATTATGAAAAGCTGCATCATTTCAATATTAGTATTTGTTACTCAACCAATAGTGAAGCCTGTTCGAGGGTTAAGCACATACTCATAGAACTGGAGTTACATCCAGTAACCAAACACAGCCCTCTGTCAACCCATGGGTGACATCACTCAGGCTTCGTCCATTATCATTTAGAGTCGATGGCTGCCTGACACAAGTTGTTGGTGTGATTATTCAGAAACACATATTAGTTGTGTTCCAAATGGATGCATGCAAACTGTTTCCTGAGTTAAGAAAACCACTTTGGACTCTTTTGAGGACACGTTTGTTTATGCGCTGTAACATGAGACACAAAGCGGAAGCACAAGAATGACAGACTGACAATGACATACAACTATAAAAGCACTTTCAAAATGACCACAAGCCACAAAACTAACCCGGATTGGAGCTGATCAAGGTGACAGCGAAAAAAACAGTTCAACATTGGATGGCTTTAGTAAGTGCAGGGACAAAACAAGGTGCAAGGTAGGCACATCAAAAGAAAAACTTTGACAAGGGCGGGATCAAAAATCCACCTGAAAGCAATAAGCAAAAGAGAATCGAGCAACAAAGCACAATTCCATCTCACAGATCTTTTTCAGGCGTTGATAAGTAAGGGCAGCACAACCAAAGCCATTTGCTTCCCTGAAACTTTTCAGCTCAGGTGATGAATATTAAAATCATTTTACCTTTATTTATTCTTGAGAAATCATTAAGGGCAAGCCCTCATTTACAATGACGTTGAGAGTACAATTAAAACGAATAAAAGACAAAAAAAACAAAGACAAAATACATAGATTATAAAACCAGAAGAATAAGCAGTAAGCAGGTAACTACAGTTAATAACATTTGCACTCTTGAGTACAGTGAGCTGTGATCAAGTTTTTAAATTGACCCATGGTAACCATTGTATTGAGTTTTAATGTGTTTTGTATTGTGTTCCAGGTGTGTGCAGCACAATAGGTGAAGGATGTTTTCCCAAAGTTCGTTTTTACATGTGGAATCGTTAACATTAGCCAGTCACTTGATCGAGTCTGATACTGATTATCAGCCCAGATGAATAAAGAAGTGATGTATGCTGGTAGATTACCCGCAAGTGATTTATAAATAAATAGCAGCCAATGCCGTTCACGTCTAACTGTTAGTGAAGGCCAACCAACTTTATCGTACAGGATGCAATGATGGGTGGAATATTTGTCACCAGTGATGAATCTGAGGGCGGAGTGATAAACTGTGTGTAATGATTTTAGGGTGGAGGCAGAAGCATGTCTATAAATGACATCCCTGTAGTACAGAACAGATAGGAAGATGGCTTCAATTATTTGCTTTCTACTCGCTAAGGGGAAGTTCACTTTGTTTCTGTAGAAGTATCCAATTTTCTGTTGTAGTTTAGTGGATAATGTATCAATGTGAAATTTAAATGAAGGATGGCTGTACAACTTTACATTATGTTGCAACCAGCTCTGCTGCCATTCACTGCAATGGACTCATTAGCTGACAGCAGTGTCAGAAGTCTTGCGTAAGAGATGCTCTTGGTGTGCTGATTTTTTTAGGATGAATGGCTGCACGCTGACTTTCTATGTCTGTTTGGAAACCTAATGTTTTCACATCACAGAAGAAACGTGTGACACTTTGGAAAATTCTGCCATATTGTTATGGAAACGTTCATCAAAATATACCATATGTTTTCATCATAAACTTGAATTTATGTGTAATAAAAACAACATTGGAATAACGTTGATGCTGCTCTTAAGAGCTGGAATTAGCGATACTGATCCAAAAATACTATTTAGCCTGCCTTTGAGTATATTAAGTATTCAGGGAGAAAATCTATTCTTACAACAGTGATAAACATCACTGAAGACCCCTCACAAAACCCGGACACACACTGTTGAAAGTCCTCCTCTCCAGGAAGCGGACAGTTCACTGTACGCCAAAACATTCAGACACAAGAACAGTTTCCTCTTCGGGCTGTTCATCTGATGAATACTTAACAGTCACTGAGTGTCAGAACTGTCACTGTGCAATAACCCCTGGAACAAAACACCCACAGTGAATTTAAATATGACAATTCAACCAAATATTGCAAATATTGTTATCCTCCTTCTCTGATATCAATCTATTCAAACAGCCCTAATGTAAATAGTGTAAAAACATCTACCTTGTGTAAATTCACCCATCTGTTACCTATTTACATAATTTATTATGTTTGTTTTAGCATCTTTTGCTCTAATCACTAACAACACTGTTTTCTCATGTAAGCATGTACATACAGTTTTGTGTTTGTTTATGTTTACTATTCAATGTTATACTTTTGTTCATAGAGAGCACAGCCTATCCAAGTCAAATTCTTTGTCGGCGTAAGCACACCTAGCCAATAAAGATGATGTTTACTACGCTGTCAAATACTGAGAGGCAAATCGGTGAGATCCCCTGAATTGGAGAAACAGAGGCACAGTTCTCACTGGTAGGCTTGGCGTCTCTTGTTAGTCTGTTTATCCTGTAGTTTCTTCAGGGACAACCACATCACCAGCGTGATCACCACAGTCACAGTCACCATCTCTGCTAAACAAGACCAAACATGGCTTGCTGCAGTGACATCATCACTGTGTGCAAACCAAACAGTGGGTCTCATTGCATCACATCCAGACCCTGATAGTGGAGGGCACACACATCTTTACATCACGAATAATCAATGTGTTGGGAGCACTCCCGCAGCTTTTAATGTGAAACACTGGAACAACAACTCTGCTGGAGAACACTGTTGACAACTTCCTACTAATGCAGCGTTATGACTACAGAGTGTAAAGACTTGGGATAAACACACCAGTCATGAAGCATGACATGAGAACCCCTATTACACTAAAAAAAAAAAAAAAATCACACGTAACAGCTACTCACAAATTGAGAATTCAAACAGTGGTTGGACTCAGAAGTGCCCACTGAAGAGCTACAAAAACAAACTGTGGCGACGTTAGCTGAGAATGCTAATTAGCTCATAACTTAGCCAGGTCCGCTACATGGCCTTGTCTTGACAATCTGCGCACTTCAATGACAGAGGCTGAGAGAGTTGACAGCTAGGTTGAAACATGTTTGAAGACGCCAAACCAATGGGCAGCTCCTGGACAGCGCGGGCTTCGTCTCTGCATTCAATATTGTTTACCTTTCTGACGCCTTTGTAGATATAAAAGTAGAGTTCCCGGCCCACATTGAAACAGATCCTGTCGCAGTTGCCGGACTGGTCGTTCACGTTGACGAAGGAGACCTTGACGGGATTCGAGCCCTGCGAGTTGAAAGGCACCCTGTTCGGGCGGCTGTATTCGGAGTGAGTGAGGAGTTTATAGACGCCTTCTCGGGTGGTGAATTGAGTTTTAATTTCGTTCATCTCCTTCCCTCCTCCCTCCGCCGCCATCTTGGAAATTGGCGTTCATCCTTGTCCGGGCCCCGGATGTTACCAACAGCGCATGCGTTGGACCCTTGGAGTCTAGAAGCCATGCGTGCAAAATTATAAAGTCATGTGAGACTTAACCAAGTAGAAGATAAACACTGAGTATTATTGTTATAGAACCAAGGTTTACAAAACCCGATACTAATAGCATAATATCGATTAATGGATACGGAAGCTAGACCAACTGTGACATTTTAATGCTCACTGATTACTATAGAAATATGTAATAAGACAGAGAATGTATAGGCCTATTGAAAACTTTTACCAGAATGTAATAGACGAAAGGGTAATTTTTAAGTCATAGTTTACAACAACACCATAAATAACATCCTTACTTATTATAAGGCAAGCAATGTGTTTGTTGGATAATGTGTCTATATTTTGATGGAGCTGTTTAAGGCTCCCCAGAAAAGCAGCAGATAACCTATTAGAATACAATTCGCATATATCTATATATATATGGCTCCTCCTTAAAGTGATTGCAACAGATCTCCATATTTCTCAGTTATGTGACACCCCACTTCTCGTAGTGTCTGCTATTACCTAGAAACATTTCAATTACATAACAGAGCTGTAGCAAGTGTGGTACAGTGCCATCCTCTGGTCAGCTGAAGTAAAGCCCACAATGGACCATAGAATCCCAGCATTCTCTTCTAACACATGGTTTTATTAATTTTCTAGTCCCACATTTGGAAATAAAACCTTGAAGTATATTAAACGTTTTATTGATACAACTTGCGTTTGAAAATATCATTCAAATTGATTATTGTATAATAACAATTCCCTGTGCAACATTAGCACACATTTGTCAATTTTGTGGAAGAGTTTATTCTGTCAAATTCAGACAACTTCATAGACGTGTTTTGTGTGATACAGAAATAATACAAGAACAGAAATTTTACAAATGAGGACATTGAAAGTTGTTCATTACTGATTGTGTTTCTACATTTTAAAGTCTATTTTTATAATATATATTGGCCTATGTCAGGTCTAAAGTATTGAGCTTGGGAATCCAAAACTCCATTAAAGATGTTTTTTGTTATCATACAGGAGCCTGCTCTTTATCCCAACAAATAAACCTTCAGACAAGACCAAAAGATGTGAATGATTCATTTAGACAGTTTCAGTTTGGGGCCCTTTGACTTTTTTTGTTGTTGCCCAAACTGTTGAAATTGTTATAAAAGTTCTACTTTATATGTAGCCTATAACATGTTTTTTTTTTTTAATAAAGCAATTACAGTTTTTCTTATAAAGAATGTAAGATGCTAAATATTTAAACATGTAGCTCAGCTTATTTGAGACATGCTGCACAATAGCCAAGACATTTTAAAAAAACATAAACAACATAAGAAGGCAATATACCGGTAATTTAAACTGAATTCCAATAAAAGACTAGAGCACCCACATACAAAATAATATATATATATACTTAAATAATGGATGCTAGAAAGTCCATCCAACTGACTCACTGACTTAAACCTTTGAGAATCACCCCAATCTTGCATGCCAAAAAAAGAAAACTGTGTCCGTGTGTGTGTCCGTGTGTGTGTCCGTGTGTGTGTGTCCGTGTGTGTGTGTGTGTGTGTGTGTGTGTGTGTGGAGGCACCAGAACAGCAGCTGATAGCAAAGGGCTTGCACAGCTGTGACGCTTTCAGGGGGGTTTGGGGCCTAACAGCTAGACAAGCTATCAGGAAAGCTCTTGCTGTGATTGACAGGCACTCCTTGTGACTCTGCTGCCCTACAAGGGCACATAGACTTTGGGGCACTGGTGTCTCTCTCACAGCCCCCCTTCCGGGCTTTTCTTAACAACCCCCACCACCACCTATACTGTAGTGAACGTATCTTCTGGAAGCTTCTGAATGGGAGCTTCGAGAAACCACCCCTTGAGTATAAAAAGTCACCAGCGTGACGTGGGGTCTGCATAGAATCAAAAGATACTCACAGGAACAGCAGTGATTGCACATTTTGAGAGGAGAAGACTGGCTCAGTGATTCATCTGACGACTTTCTTCAAGAAGTGACTGTAGAAAAAGATTATATTCAAGGTAAGACACCTCAAACCTAATACAGCTGAAATTAGGATGAAGAAACAGTAATGATAAATACAAAGAATCAGGTGCTAGTATAGTATGAGCCCTGGCAGATGAGAAAACTACAAATTAGAATACCTAAATCGACACTAAACTTGCACAATTGCACAAGTATATATCTATTTAAATTGTTTGATATCAGTTACTTGTAACATGATGGAAAGCCTTTTTACAATTGTCAATTCAAGGAGCACATGGCAAGCAGGGTGACCCTGAGTCTAACAGCAATGGCGGATGGGCAGAAAAACATGTGCTCAAAGAGCAGATACAGCAGTTTCACATCTTGGTATTAAAGATTTTTTACAGGAATTTGGATGCATTTAAACCACTTAGTCCTACACTTTTGTGTGGCCTGTTTTAGTCACCAATGTGACTTTCGCCAAAGTGAAAATTGTTACTGTAAAGAAGAAATATGGTCTTTAGAACAATTGCTCAGAGCAAAGTCAGAAAAAAAGATTACCACTTTATGGTTAAAGCCATTCAGTTGGTCTCACATCTTTGCTATTCTAACTGATTCCCCCTCTAACATAAAGGCGTTAAATGACACATGATGAAGCTTTTGGGGGTTGGGGCAAGCATCAGAACTCCACCCAGCTACCAAATGGCAAGGGCCTGATTGACAGAAGGAACATGTGTTCATCTAGCATCAGCAAAAGTTTCCCTCCTCAAGCCATGAGGCCGGGGAAGAAGGGAATTCAAAGATAACAGAAGGAAATGATTTATTAGATACAGAAAACAAATAAATAAATTTGATTTTAGAACAAATGATAGATTTAAGCTATTTGTGTGGAATGAGATTTTTAACCAAAAAATATGTGCTTTTCATTAGATGCCTGAGAACGCTGGACATGTTATGGAGGAGGAAGTGGAGACCTTTGCCTTCCAGGCTGAGATCGCTCAGCTTATGTCCCTCATTATCAACACCTTCTACTCAAACAAGGAGATCTTCCTTAGAGAGCTCATCTCCAACTCCTCAGATGTAAGAAACAACAGATCTTTATCGCTAAATGTTCCTTTGTTTTTAAACAAATACAGTCCTTATGTGTATGCAAACATTACAATTCTCAAAACCTCCTCCCTTCCTGACAGGCCTTGGACAAAATCAGATATGAAAGCCTGACAGATCCTAGCAGACTTGAGTCCTGCAAAGATCTGAAGATCGAAGTCAGGCCAGACGAGCTAACTCGCACCCTGACCCTTGTCGACACAGGTATCGGCATGACCAAGGCCGACCTGATCAACAATCTGGGCACAATCGCAAAGTCTGGCACCAAGGCTTTCATGGAGGCTCTGCAGGCTGGAGCTGACATCTCTATGATCGGTCAGTTTGGTGTTGGTTTCTACTCAGCTTACCTGGTGGCTGAGAGGGTGACAGTCATTACTAAGCACAATGATGACGAGCAGTATGTGTGGGAGTCTGCAGCTGGAGGCTCATTCACAGTTAAAGTAGACACTGGTGAGTTTGATTTACAACACAGATATAATACTCCATTGAGGAAGTTGAACTGCACTGTTCTAATGACTTATTTCATTGCTACTTTCAGGAGAGTCTATTGGCAGAGGCACAAGGGTGATCCTTCACCTCAAAGAAGATCAGACGGAGTACTGTGAGGAGAAGCGCATCAAGGAAGTTGTGAAGAAGCACTCACAGTTCATTGGCTACCCTATTACACTTTATGTAAGTTCCTTTAGCAACATGCTGTAGCGACAATTTGCTTAACATGTCACAATTAACAGTGACATAGTGAGTTTGAATAAAGCACCACTCCATTCATATACTCAAGGTGGAGAAAACAAGGGAGAAGGAAGTGGACCTGGAAGAGGGGGAGAAGGAAGATGAGGTTGAGAAAGATGCTGCTGAGAACAAGGACAAACCCAAGATTGAGGATGTTGGCTCTGATGAGGATGAAGATTCAAAGGATGGCAAGAACAAGAGGAAGAAGAAGGTCAAGGAGAAGTACATTGATGCCCAGGAGCTGAACAAGACCAAGCCAATCTGGACCCGTAACCCCGATGACATCACGAACGAGGAGTATGGAGAATTCTACAAGAGCCTCACCAACGACTGGGAGGACCATCTGGCTGTCAAGGTGAGATTTATGGATACACTTCTGACAGTTCTTCTCATCTCATTTAAACGATTTTTGATGTTATAGTTTCACATTTTATTCTTGTGTCCACAGCATTTCTCCGTGGAGGGTCAGCTGGAGTTCCGTGCCTTGATCTTTATACCCAGAAGAGCTGCATTTGACCTCTTTGAAAACAAGAAAAAGAGAAACAACATCAAGCTGTACGTGCGCAGAGTTTTCATCATGGACAACTGCGAGGATCTCATCCCAGAGTACCTCAGTGAGTAACACAACATCCACCTTTAAGAAAAAGTGGTTCTTTTCATACTTGTTTGTAGTGTCGTGTTTTTAACTTTTTTTTTTATCTATTCAGATTTCATCAAGGGGTGTGGTGGACTCTGAGGATCTGCCCCTGAACATCTCCAGAGAGATGCTGCAGCAGAGCAAGATCCTGAAGGTGATCCGCAAGAACCTGGTCAAGAAGTGTCTGGATCTCTTCACTGAGCTCTCTGAGGACAAGGACAACTACAAGAAGTGCTACGAGCAGTTCTCCAAGAACATCAAAGTAGGTGGAATCTGTCTGAATTCTTGAATACTGTGGATATCTTTTTTTTTTTTTTTTTTTTTTACTTGTTAAATGTTTATGTTCGATAAAATTGTCCTTTCGTGTTTCAGCTCGGCATCCATGAAGACTCTCAGAACAGGAAGAAGCTGTCTGAGCTGCTGCGATACTACACCTCAGCCTCTGGAGATGACATGATTTCCCTAAAGGAATATGTTTCACGCATGAAGGAGAACCAGAATCACATCTATTACATCACAGGTAAGTTATACAACTGAATTTCTATTCTTTTATTTTATGTATTTATTTATTTAAAATAGGGACAGAGCACATTAATGAACTATATCTGTAAATATGCCAGGTCCCTTGGCAGATTTTGAAAAGCGATTGAGTCATTACTTTAGTATATTGATTCAAATCTACATGACCCTTCTTAGGTGAGACCAAAGACCAGGTTGCTAACTCTGCCTTCGTTGAGCGTCTTCGCAAAGCCGGCCTTGAGGTCATTTACATGATCGAGCCCATCGATGAGTACTGCGTCCAGCAGCTGAAGGAGTATGATGGCAAGAACCTGGTTTCAGTGACCAAGGAAGGCCTGGAGCTGCCTGAGGATGAAGACGAGAAGAAGAAGCAGGAGGAGCTCAAAACTAAATTTGAAAACCTTTGCAAGATCATGAAGGACATCCTCGACAAGAAGATTGAAAAGGTAATAACGGGAAACCCATCTGATCTAGTTTAATGTTCTCTTTTTATGCAAACATGGCGCCTTTATTTGATCATGACAATAATATGTATTTTTTTATTTTTGACAGGTTGTAGTTTCCAACCGCTTGGTGTCTTCCCCATGCTGCATCGTCACAAGCACCTACGGCTGGACAGCTAATATGGAGAGGATCATGAAGTCTCAGGCCCTCAGAGATAACTCCACCATGGGCTACATGACGGCTAAGAAGCACCTTGAGATTAACCCGATGCATCCCATTGTTGAGACCCTGAGGGAGAAGGCAGAAGCTGACAAAAACGACAAGGCTGTTAAGGACTTGGTCATCCTCCTTTTCGAGACAGCGCTGTTGTCTTCAGGATTCACACTGGAGGACCCACAGACACACGCCAATCGCATCTACAGAATGATCAAGCTGGGTCTTGGTAAGTTATTTTTCCCTGACAACTGATAATAAGGTTATTAGAGGAATTACTCAGGTTATAATGCTTGTTTGTTGCTGATGAATCTTTCTCATTCACAGGCATTGACGATGATGACTCTGTAATTGAGGACCTCATACAGCCTGCAGAAGAAGATATGCCAGTCTTGGAAGGAGATGATGACACATCAAGAATGGAGGAAGTTGACTGAGCTAGTACACACTTGTTTTTGAGTATTTGTATTGTTTTTGTTAATTACCTCACTACTTAAAAAAAAAACGTTTTATTCTAACACGAGTCTAAATTCTTCGCAGTATTAGTCAATAAAGTTAATGAGTGGAATTAAACCACAGTGTGGCTTACTCTACACATTGCATTATCTGCTTATATAAAACTACTTCCAACCATTAAGAGCAATATAAAGTCACGTTGGATATGGCTCGTGTCTCTTTTTGTTATCATTTTTTATGAAATGCATTCAAATTTATAATAAAATGTATTTAGAAATAAGACCTGGATTCTTGCTTACTGTGTCTGTTACATGTTTGAATTCATCAATTTGTTTGTACAGAAAAATGTGTGTAAAAAAAAAAGTTTTTTTTATTTAGTCTATGTAACTTTTTTGCGATGTTCTGGAATTTTCAGCGAGCGCTGCATGGTTCTCCAGTTTAGCTGTACTTCCGCACGCATTCACCCGGCTCCTTTTTCCCGCCCTAAGCCCCGCCTCCTTCAGTATAAGAATTAGTAGAGAGAGGCGTGTGCACGCATAATGATTGACATCCCACTGAGCCTGTCAGCGGTCAAGCACAGAACCGTTGCGGGGAAGATTCCAGACGGTTCTGGAAAGCTCAGATCAGGATTTCTCGAACAGTCGGAAAGGGTACTAAAGCTCCGCAGCCCAAACCTCTCTGACAGTCTGCGACCTCTACACACACACTTCTCACAGGAGATTTCCATAGCAGGTGGACCAAGGTAAATTGAGGTTTTGTTTTTATTTAGTTATAACGTTTCAGATTTATTGCAACTGACTAACTTTAAAATAAAACACTTTAAAATCCATGCTTAATGTTCGGGTATATTATCTTAATTGTTATATATTTTTAAATAACAAGATCATTCAAATGTTCTGTTATCCCTCGCTGCAAATTGTGATAATTCCACTCATGCTTTCCTGATGTTAAATCAACCTAGTATTCAGATTATAACTATTGAATTACAAGAAGAATGCTTTTTTGAGGACATCTTAACAAAAAATAAAGATTGGATCCGCTGTGTCAAAGTGCTGTCCCTGCCGAATTTGCGTTATTTTTAGAAGACAAAACTTTTTTTTTCCTCCGAATACATTCACGGACACTATCCCACATCACCTTTGCATTTCTCCGGCTGGGAGACAAGCAGACACACGGAGCACACCGTGCAGTCATGTTGCACCTGTCAGACGGGAATTATACTAACAAGCTTTGGCACAGTTTAATTAACCTCGATTAGATTTTCCAGAGTGGGGCGGTTTTCCCTCATAGAGTCACCCTCTGCAGCCGTCTAGTTATTCAGTGCACGATCATTGAAGTATTGAAGTACAGCGCGTCCATTCACACTCACAGAACCTCCTGTCCTTAGATGGTTTGAAGGAGGAGCAATAGATTCCTATTTCCTATGGAAACTGCTCGACAGTTCAGTTCGCCTCTTGGTACCTTCTAGAAACGTGTATTTCGTCTGGGTAACCACAAGGTGGAGTCTTTAAGGCTTCTCTCTGATCAACCAATAACCAGTTATGCTGTTAACAGAAGAAGAGGATGAAGCGTACTGATTACACTGTCATGACTTTTCAGCATTTGTGAGCAGAAATACCGTTTCATCACAGTTTCTTTATTGTTTTCACTGAGGTCTAGTCTTTGGGAACTTACACAATAAATGTAATGTTTTTTTAAACATTAAGGGAACTCTTTTGAGTCTTTGCTGTCTCTATATAAACAGTTTTCTTAATTATTTTAACCCTGCTGTATGTGTGTAGTTGCGTTTTAAATGATGAAACTACATGTTGCAGATAAGATGGATTATAGGCAGGTGGAGCAGTGAGTAAAGCTAGACCATCTGTCATGCCACCTGTCTGCACAAGTAATGCATCACCTGTCATTAAAGATGGATACCTCGCTGCATTTAAACATAATAAGTGTTAAATGTGAATGCAGTATATTCTGCAGTGCCTTACTAAGAGCATTTACAGAGAATGCATGGACATTGATGAACATCATAGAATTGTAAAAAAATTGATTCCCGAGGTATTTTTTGATAAACAAGACTGCTACTTAGTGGTTATGATGACTCTTATTTTGTAGGAGTTTCTTTAATATTTATTTTGTAGGGGTTATTTTAATTGCTCACATTTGACTAAAGGTTGACTGGCTGTGTGTGTTGTGGATTTTTTAGTGCTGAGGGTGATCGACAAATAACACTGCACAAAGGTCCAGGAAATGCCAGTATAATTGCAAATATGAGGACAATGTATTGTGTGTGTGTACGTGTGCGCTCATATGTAAGTCTTTACATGAGCATGTCCCAAAAGCCTTAATTCATTTGTCACCTCTTCTTAGATGCCTGAATTACACGATCAACCGATGGAGGAGGAGGCCGAGACCTTTGCATTCCAGGCTGAGATCGCTCAGCTGATGTCGCTGATCATCAACACTTTCTATTCCAACAAAGAGATCTTCCTAAGAGAGCTTATCTCCAACTCCTCAGATGTACGTTTTCCAGAGTATTAGACTAAAGCTCTTTCATCTCATCTTGTCTAAAGTCTTAATTGAGGCTGTTTTATTGAAAATACTGTATAATGCAGTGACTGTGATGTATAGTAATATCATGACAATAAAGTAAAAAAACAAACAATTTAAGATTAATTGAATAGGCAACCCTTCAAATTTTGGTGAAAACAAATTAATGGCTTTGTTTTACCCCCAGGCCCTCGACAAAATCCGCTATGAGAGTCTCACTGACCCTTCAAAGCTCGATAGTGGAAAGGAGCTGAAGATCGAAGTCATTCCCAACAAAGAAGAGCGCACCCTGACCCTTATCGACACAGGTATCGGCATGACCAAGGCCGACCTGATCAACAATCTGGGCACAATCGCAAAGTCTGGCACCAAGGCTTTCATGGAGGCTCTGCAGGCTGGAGCTGACATCTCTATGATCGGTCAGTTCGGTGTTGGTTTCTACTCAGCCTACCTGGTGGCTGAGAGGGTGACAGTCATTACTAAGCACAATGATGACGAGCAGTACGCCTGGGAATCTTCTGCTGGAGGCTCATTCACAGTTAAAGTAGACAACTGTAAGTAATGTAAAGGCAGTAGTTCAGGTTTTTGCTATCTAAATCATTAAAGGAATGCCTAGAGGGGGTGTCAGTGTTATCTGCATCTACCATCATCCTAATTCTCTAATTGTTACCCATTGTAGCTGAGCCGATTGGACGTGGCACTCGGGTGATCCTGCACTTGAAAGATGACCAGACAGAATACATCGAGGAGCGAAGAATCAAAGAGATTGTGAAAAAGCATTCGCAGTTCATCGGATATCCCATCACGCTCTTTGTAAGCACTTCTTTTAATCGCCCTACAAATAAATTCACAACAGCTTACTTTTTAAAGGAATCAAAAAAAAAAAAAACTCATGATCCATGACTGAGCAATATTTTTTAACTCAGGTGGAGAAAGAGCGCGACAAGGAGGTGAGTGATGACGAGGCAGAGGAGGAGGAGAAGGAGAAGGACAAGGATGAGGAAGAGGAAGAGAAGGACGAGGACAAGCCAGAGATTGAGGATGTCGGGTCAGATGAGGAGCACGACCACGACCACGACCACGACCACGACAAGTCTGGAGACAAAAAGAAGAAGAAGAAGATCAAGGAGAAGTACATTGACCAAGAGGAACTGAACAAAACCAAACCCTTGTGGACCCGTAACCCCGATGACATCACTAATGAGGAGTATGGAGAGTTTTACAAGAGTCTGACAAACGACTGGGAGGAACACCTGGCTGTCAAGGTACAATCTCTTTGAGACTTTTTAAAAATTGTCCATCCATATTGGGCACATTTTATTACAGTTAGTAATTGCTTTATATCAGCAATATTCTGGCCATCAACATATAACACAACAGGGGTCATGTGTCTATACATTGTGATTGGGATACATATTTTCAGTTGGATAATTGTCCTTACAAGAGTGTACACATGTTATCCTATCAGAGCGGGGAGATATCCATTTGTATCTGTAACAACAAACAAAGCAATAGTTTCTATGCAGTCCTGGTGAGAAATTATGTGTAGTCTATATTCATTAAAAATATACAATTTTATTAATAATATTAATAAGACACGCTATACGTCCCTGTATATCAGTATTTCTTTGAGTCTCTTGAAATGTAAGTGAAAGAAATTTAAATTAAGTGCAATCACTGATCGACACCTTCTTTTTCTTGCAGCACTTTTCAGTAGAGGGTCAGCTGGAATTCCGGGCCCTGCTCTTTGTGCCTCGCCGCGCTCCCTTCGACCTCTTTGAGAACAAGAAGAAGAAGAACAACATCAAGCTGTACGTGCGCAGAGTCTTCATCATGGACAACTGCGAGGAGCTCATCCCAGAATACCTCAGTGAGTAACACAACATCCATCTTTGAAAAAACTGAGATTCTAAGTTATACATATTTGTACAGGGTTCTTCCTGGCTCACACTGTGTTCATTTTTACAGTTAAAGCAAAGATGTTGAATTAAATGAAGCCTGTGGGTTTGGGGGTCTTCTGCCTTGAGATATTGAGCATAAAACACTGTCATTCTTGTGTCCTGGGGTATTTTTGTGCACCAGTTTGACAGAAAATGTTTCTTTATTTTCATTATCTTTAACTACATGCCACAAAGCTGTAACCAACTTTACTCTGATTGTGCAGGAGAAAAGAGAGAGAGAGAGAGACAGAGAGAGCATGTGCATACAGACAGAAGTGTAGACACAAAATGGGCACATTTAATGATGAAGCCTTGTGTTGCTCTGTGCGGTACAGCTGTAACTGCACTTAGAAATTACAAATTCAATTCAAAGGTGAAAAAGGTGGGTATTGTCCACAACCTCACAAATTAATTCCATTTCAATTCTTTTTGTCACGATTTTGAGCTGATTTTGCAGCAAAATCGTAATAAACATTGCAATGTCATTACAATGAAAACAATTGGTCTCGGGATTTCCCTGAGCCCATATTGAATTGGGAAAATAATAATTACAATGCATTGATGAATCGATATTTTTAACCAGCTGGGTGGGCAATTTCTGAATGCAGGAAGAACCCTGTTGTAATATTGTGTTTTCAACTTATCCTTTCTATTCAGATTTCATCAAGGGTGTGGTGGACTCTGAGGATCTGCCCCTGAACATCTCCAGAGAGATGCTGCAGCAGAGCAAGATCCTGAAGGTGATCCGCAAGAACCTGGTCAAGAAGTGTCTGGATCTCTTCACTGAGCTCGCTGAGGACAAGGAAAACTACAAGAAGTGCTACGAGCAGTTCTCCAAGAACATCAAGGTGAGTGTGTAACACTTTGCGATTACCCTAAAATCCGGAATTTAAGTCGCACCGGTATATAAGACGCACCCTGTTTTGAAGGTCTCTTAGAGAGAAAAATGTTTAAACAGTCTTCCTGAGTGACGATTTATATTGTGTTCAGAGATGTCTACAATGTGCATTTTCTGTGCAGCTGTGTCGCTCTTCAGTTCTGTCTGTTTTCACGTTCGGGAGTTTGCGCTCCTATTAGCTACAGTACGGTAGTTCAGCTCTCAGCCTGCAGGGAAAGTTGTTAGGCACAGACTCCTAGCTTGCGAGCTGTGCTGCCCGACTCCGCTGGTCACTCTTTAACTTTAATATAGGACTCTTTGAATCAAAGAGCACTCCACAAGGTTTATTTACGGAACAATATACCACTGCTTTCTGTAAATGTAGATTATGACCTCGTGTGGGAGAAAAGATGTGGAAAAAGTTGCGCAGCCAGCCTGGTCTGTGTCGCCGCCTTTTCCACCGTCTTTTCTAGCTTTCAATACACAATGAATGGGGATGGGTTTTTAATCGCATCAGGTCGCAGTTAGTGGCTGCTGCACCCACGGTAATGACAGCGCTTGTTTCAGTATTTTATACTGGTATATTGGTCGCACCGGTGTAGATGCAGCCAACTTTTAAGACGAAAAAATAGGTATTAGAAGTGCGTCTTATACTCTGGATTTTACGGTACTTTGACTTTTTTCCTTTTATCTCACGATTATTGTTTGTTCCTCAGACCTTTTAACGCATTATCCATCTGTCTGATCCTTTGCCCATATTGACTCAGAGTTAAGCTGCTTGACTGGATCTTGTTCTATGTGGGAGCAATTTACTAACTCCTGGTTTCGCTTTTTTTAAACCAATATAAGTCTTTATAGAACTGGGTTATAGATAATGAAGGGATAATGTATGTTTTTCTAGATTTAAATATGAATGATTAAATTGATGGGCTCTGTATGAAACATCAGTGTTGTATTCATCTTTCAGCTCGGCATCCATGAAGACTCTCAGAACAGGAAGAAGCTGTCTGAGCTGCTGCGATACTACACCTCAGCCTCTGGAGATGAGATGGTGTCCCTGAAGGACTATGTAACACGCATGAAGGACAGCCAGAAACACATCTATTACATCACTGGTAAGGAGGATGCTCTTTATCCATAAATGAAAAAAAAAGCATCATAAAAATAGGAAAAATAAGTTCTTGTGGGATTTTGCAAACAAATAGTTGTCACAACTTTGCTGTTTCTGTATTTCAGGTGAGACCAAAGACCAGGTTGCTAACTCTGCCTTTGTGGAGCGTCTACGCAAAGCTGGCCTTGAGGTCATTTACATGATCGAGCCCATCGATGAGTACTGCGTCCAGCAGCTGAAGGAGTTTGAGGGAAAGAACCTGGTTTCAGTGACCAAGGAAGGCCTGGAGCTGCCTGAGGATGAAGACGAGAAGAAGAAGCAGGAGGAGAAGAAGGCTCAGTTTGAGAACCTTTGCAAGATCATGAAGGACATCTTGGAGAAGAAGGTGGAAAAGGTGAGCTAATAAAAAAAAGTGATATATGTGTGTATTTTCTCTATGTTAAGGCAGATAAATGTATTAATTCGTATTTATTTCTGAAGGTCACAGTCTCCAACCGCCTCGTCTCCTCCCCCTGCTGCATCGTCACCAGCACCTACGGCTGGACAGCAAACATGGAGAGGATCATGAAGGCCCAGGCCCTGAGGGACAACTCGACCATGGGTTACATGGCTGCAAAGAAGCACCTTGAGATCAACCCTGATCACCCCATTGTGGAGACCCTAAGGCAAAAAGCAGAGGCCGACAAGAACGACAAGTCTGTGAAGGATCTGGTCATCCTGCTCTTTGAGACGGCCCTGCTCTCATCCGGGTTTACCTTGGACGACCCACAGACCCACTCCAACCGCATCTACAGGATGATCAAGCTGGGTCTGGGTGAGTTTTTGTGTTCATAGTTTGAAGCTTTTGTTTGGTCAAGACAGACAACAGAACATTTGAACCAAATTACAGACAAAATTAACATATTTATATGTCAACATATCGATGGTTATCGGGCAGGAAGCCGTTAGTCTAAGCATCTAATACCTGATGCAAAATCCTCCAACACCCAGGGCGAAGACTGCTTCCAACATTTTTCAAATGAATAAAAAAGTATGAGAGAAGGATTGAGGATCTTAATGGTATACAGTATCCAAAGATCTAAGGCATTGAACACATGCATGCATATTTAAAACATTGCAATAGTCTCTAATTGACTAAATGCACACACAACTTCCCACCTTCCAAATTTTCATTAAGTATCACTATGTAGGTCATGTCTTCTATAAGATGTTGTTGCAATGTCCCTTAAATTTTCCTTACTTTTTCAGGTATTGACGAGGATGATCTGACACCAGATGACACCCCCTCTGCTCCCACCGAGGACATGCCCCCTCTTGAAGGGGACGACGACGACACATCCAGGATGGAGGAAGTGGACTAAACTTGTTTCTATTGCCTGCTAGCAATCAAAAGTAGTATTATATAAAATTTAAAATTAAGTCTTATAAAGGAGACTGGAAAGATCCCCCTTATTTATTTTGTGGTAAACAAACCAGTTGACTTTACCTCCCCTTGCATTGACAATACTGTTTGCAGCTCAAATTCATTCCTTTTGGAGCTCTCATTTTTTTTAAGTTTACACTTTTTTTATCTTGAGTTTATTTACTGTTTTTTTTTTGTATTTATTGACATTCCAGTTTTCTGTGAGTGTTATTACCTTGACTGTAAATATATATAAATTGATACTGTTATTTGAAGGGGGTGGGGCCAATGAAATAAAGATTTACCAAGCTATGATTTATTTATCCTCACTGTTTGTCTAACAAGTATCCAACAGATACATTCTTGACCCATCTTGATAAATAAAAAAATACATCCTTGTAAAAATGTTGTAGTGAACTGTAGGTTACTTACTCAGAATGCCATGCACGGCTTGTGAAGAGAACTATGATAAAGCTACCACAAGTTAAAGCTAAGCGCATGCATGGTCGGAAAAAACAACAAAAAAAAAACATTGCATTGGGTGTATAATATAGTATGAGTAATATTAACGTTGCTTCTCTTTGTTCTACTCAGTTTGCTACAGAAAAAAATACGAAGACATTTGGTGAACAAATACATTGAAAAAAAACCCAGTAGAGGGCAGTAACACAACACAAAAAGCTGTATACATCGGTCACATATGACCTACCAAGCTTTAGAAATATTCTTGAAAACTGGTATGATAACTGGCTGCCAGAGGAAAATTGAAGCTATGAAAAACAGAAGTGACAATAACTAAATGTTGCAACGGATGGACCAGATAGTATTCTTTTGGTAATTTCTGCTTTTAATAAATTGTATATTACGTATACCTATTAGGTGATCCGATCTGACATTTTAAATGATGTACTTAACAATAAACATTTCATATATTAACAGTTTTTAACAAGAGTATTTTCAAAATTACATCTGTTTGTATGGAAGCCCATTTCGCCAGTAAAAAAAAATAAATGTAAATAATAAAGTCTCATAATTTCAATATTTTTATCTCATTATTTTGACTTATCTCATTATTATGACTTTATATCTCATAATTTTGATTTTATATCTCATTATTTTGACTTTTTATCTCATTATTATGACTTTATATCTCATAATTTCGATTTTATATCTCATAATTTTGACTTTTTAATCTCATAATTTTGATTTTTTATCTCATTATTATGACTTTATATCTCATAATTTTGACTTTATATCTCATAATTTTGACTTTTTAATCTCATAATTTTGACTTTATATCTCATAATTTTGCCTTTATATCTCATAATTTAGATTTTTTAATATCATAATTTTGATTTTTAATCTCATTATTATGACTTTATATCTCATAATTTTGACTTTATAGCTCATAATTTTGATTTTTTAATCTCATAATTTTGACTTTTTATCTCATTATTATGACTTTATATCTCATAATTTTGACTTTATATCTCATAATTTTGACTTTTTATCTCACTATTTTGACTTTATATCTCATAATTTTGACTTATCTCATTATTATGACTTTATTTACTTAATTTTAATTTTTTTTAACTGGCGGAAATGGGCTTCCATACGTTTGTCTACAACTAAATCAGAGAAAAAAAAAGTTTTAGGAATTAAATGATCTTGACAGTAACATACAGTGAAGACGACACCTTTCGCCAGTAGGGGGCTCCATCTCCACCGCCCTACGACGTTGAAGTCAGCTGAGCTACAACAGCCAATCACAGGGCGAAGACGATCTTTGCGTAGTGCCCTGAGAGTTGTCAAGGTTTTTGGTTGTGGAGTATCCGAGAGGGGAGCAAGGGCGGCTACGGTTCTACAATGCCGAATAAATCAAAGAAGGAAAAGGTGAGTTGAAGAGTTGCCAGTAGGCTATGGCGGCTGGACATGAAGTTTTTATTTGGTAGATTTTTTTGTTGTTGCGGTTTTATGAATAAACCGACTTGTTAAGAAGACATAGCAGTCAGTGGCGATGTCCCCATCACATCGACTGTTAACGGGTAGCAGCAGTCATCATTAGCTAGTCGCTATCCTGCTGCCAACATGTTAGCACTTATTACGTTTTGCTGCCTTATTAAAATAAAGCGCCCTTGTCCAGAATTATGCTAGGTCAGTAAACTCTGGATGCATGTTTTTTTCTCTGACAACATGTGTGTGCTTTTAATAGTAAATGTTCGCACTTTGCCTGTTATTTAAGCTGAAAGCCGGGGGTCGTGTGAAGTAATGTCCGCTAGCTAACATCAGACTGAGCACTGTATTCAAACAGGAGTGTGAGACTGGGTGGGCAGGTTTGCTATATTTAGCTTTGGATTTTTTTTTTTTTTTTTGCATGGCAGCATTCATTGATGGACTGCTTACGTATGTTGTCAGCCCTCCCATCTGTTTATGTCTGTTTGAATAAAAGTACTTAATCCTTGTGTTTCATTTCAGGAGTCCCCTAAATCTGGCAAAGTGAGTAAGAGTGGAGGACAGGAGAATGAGCATGAGGTAGGCTTACTCTGGACACTTATATAAAAAAAAACTTCATGGGAGACTTTTGGACCATATCTTACACAAATGCCACTGACATTACATCATCTTTGTGTGTGACAGTGAACTGCATTGTTAGTGCAAACTACTGTAAAAGCTCCAGTGTCAATTGCAATGATTCTAGATGAGATATGTGCATAACAATGGTCAGATGTGAGTAGGTAGTGGCTGTGATAGCTGAAATACATTTGCAAATATGATGTAAAACATATTCCAAACAATAGAGTAAAAAAAAATGCACAATCAGTCAGAATTGTGTTAACAGAACTGTGGTGACTTTTTAAGATACAGTGTACTTGCAATTTGTTCATCTCCGATACTGTAAGGATTTCACGAAGTTATAAAGTGATCCCTGTGTGGACTTGTCTGTTGTCCAGTGTTTGAGACAAAGAAAGGAAGTAATACACCTTCAGGCTCCAATATGGTGGGCAGAAATTATCTTATGGAGTAAGGGAGAAAAACCTTGCTTGATTTAGACCTCATGATTCTTTGAAAATACGCACAAATCATCAATCAATCAATCAATTTTTATTAGTATAGCGTCAACTCAAAGAAATTAGTTTTACAAACTGGTCTTTTGATTGCTGCTATTTCAAAATGTAGTGATTTAAAAGGTTATCAAGCTTGACTAAAATAGTTTTACCGCCTAGATGATGGGCAGGGTTAGACCTTGTTATATATATATATATATATGTGTTAGTATACCTGATTCAGTGTATTTTGGAAAGGAATTGCAGGTTTAGGCGTATGATGTACTTCCTTGGTTTAGAGGCCAGTGTGGTGCAAGGCTGTCATTAGTGAAATTGGGACTGACCTTCTTTAAAGCAGAACATCGTAGACAAAATCATTTTGCTGTGGACCTTTGGTTAGTTTCCTCTCCTGATTCTGTTGGAGGGCTGTTTAGTGACAGGATTGGGTTGCACCTGACTCATAGTTGTCCTTCTTGTGACTCAAGCGGCTGTTTGTTGATAACCTGGTGCTAAATTCCTGTAGATGACATTTTGTATGTAGAGTTCACCAGTTTCTTCACCATTTGTACTGCTTACTTGTCATACTCTGCTTGTGAAAATGAAAAGCCTTCATCCCATAGAAATTTACTTTTGTAAATGTTTCTAGTGCTTCTTCTAAAATTTCACAAAACAAAGTAAAACAGCATGGTTTATAAAATATATCCCTATTTTAAAAATGCCAGCTTTTGAGAACTGAGTGCCTCTGCAGTACTTTACTGTCCTGTAATCAGGTAGAATATTTACTTCATCAATCCCCAGGGATGTATTTTTTTTTCAGCTCCACATTAAACAATTACCTAGCCAGGGACAGGGGTTGCTAATTAGCCACAGCTAGAAACCTGTTTGCATGGCATCTACTTCGTATTTCACATATGAAGAAATGTTCATGGCACGTGTCCCTGTTAAATAAACAAATACAAATATTAACATGTGTAAGAAGATTGCCTTAAAAAATGGGTCTGTGCTACGAATGATTTAACCTCATCACACTGGTGCAGACAGATCCGCTTTTGTGTGTGTGACATCGAGCAATGGCACATGGCTAATGTGCAGTGCATGATAGTTGTAGTCCGTCATATAATTCCCTGCCTGCCTAGAGTCCATAAATCTAATTTGTATAGAAAATGTTACACTTATTGAAAATACTTATAATATGTTAAAGTGTGTTGTTTGTGTATCTTATTTGACATTGATGTTGTTTGCCAGCCACAACCTGTTTAAATGATAAACTGCACTACTTGTGGTTGGTTTTAGAGATGTCACAGATGGTAAATATATCCTGCTACAAGTTTTTGTCTCATGCTTCAAGACTATAGAGCTCAGTGGCACCAGTGCACAACAGTGTGCAGAGCTGCTGAAGAGGAAGAAAATAGCAAGTAGACTGTGGTTTAAGAGACCTTGTGGTGAAAAGAACACAAAGCAACTGACACTGAATAGCTAAAATTTGCAAGCTGCAACATATATTGCTTTCTTGACAATTTTATCAATCTTCAAACACTTAAATCTCAGAGGCCTGATAGACATACTATTGTGGAGAAATGTTGTGGTGCTTTTGCAGTGCCAATGGACTAACCTGGTAACTACCGTTCCACTCTCTTTACTGACACTCTTTTCTGGAACAATGCTAAAATGGTCTCGGAGTATAACCATTTACTAACACCTGGATATGGTCAGACTTGAAAAGGCCAAATAAGTTATCGTTCCACTTCCCAAACTGTTATTCTCAGGGCAGATCAGCTGCCTCAATGACCTGCTGCAGCTCACAGTGTCTAGAGCCCCCATTGACAGTATGTCAGCAGCTAGCTGAGCTTCTGCTCTATCTATCCAGGTTGAATTGGTCTGTGATTTAAAATCATTGTAAAAAAGTGTAATATTCATGGTATTAAAATTACTATGCACATATAATTTTCTCAGTACATTTTTGCCCAGTCACTAAAGCAAGAGGGAAATCTGTAATGTTGCAGCTCAAACACACACACCAAAATGATAAGCCAGTGCAGTGTGGCTCAGGCGATACACGTTGTTTTGGTCATGTAATAGCGGCAAAGGCATCTGGCCGGCATGAGTCATTACATAACATTATTGCACTGCAAGGTCATGTACCGTTTTTTTTTTAACAATGTAAAGGTATCACTGAGGTGTACAGCATGGTTTCAAAAACTGTTCTCATGCTTTTCCTCTATTCCAAGATAAATGCTTCTGTTATATTTAACAAGCAGTAAATTAAAGTTAAGTTTATTACCATAAACTTTGCCATCACCATATAGTAACATGATCAAACCTATGAAATAATTTAACACTCTTATTCTTCAGAGAACTGGAGTCTTTCTTTATCAGGGGAAGTCAGATGTATTTTACAGCTGACATGACAGGTGGTTATTTTCGTAGAAATGTAATATTGATGTTTTAATGCCTGGCTGTTAACCATCCGTTTGTTTCAGTGGCTGTAATGCGCTGTCAAATGTGTAAAAAATGCATGGTTGTTAATCTTAAAGCTGAAAGTAAATCATCTTTAATGTATCGTCCAAGATCATGGTTTGTTTGAACCACATGATTTATAAGTAGTTGGATACATGAAGACTTTCCAAATGTGTTTCTGTTCTGCAAAAAATAAGGTGTCAGTCTCTTGCTGGATGATGGCAAGCAATGGCAGCAAGCATGACTGCTGCTGTGTGTTAACAGACATGTAGCAGATGTGCCATTGCACCGAGCTTGTGTTAAAGTGAGAACGCATGACTGCAAGCTGTTGTACTCCCCCCCTTCCTTTTGTCCCATTCCTTGTTTAGTGTTTGGAGCTAAAGAGAATGTGTATTATATACATGGGTTTCACTTGCTGCCTCGCTAACAAGCAAAGTAGTAAGCTACATTAAAAGCATTTTACTAGAAAATCATAGCGGCCCTGACAGATGTTCCTACTCTGGCATAACAAATTTACAAGAAGAATAGTTAATTCCTTTCACTTGATTACACAATAATGTAATCTGGTTCATTACAGAGGTCGGCTCAGCTTATTTCTCTCTTTAGACAGCTTGCTAGAGGACTGGCTCCTAAGCTCCTCTCTTGCAGTGCTGCAGACTGTGGCCAGCTTTCACTGGGTCTTAAATGAACGTATAACTCCCAAGTGACTCAGACGCACACAGCGCCACAGCTGTATCTGAAGAAGTAAGCTGTGTGACATGTTCATCGGGGGTGTGTTGATGAATAGACTCCAACAGACAGGTGGGACCAGCTATGAGGAACCTGTCACATCCATTAGAGCCAAGGTCATGATAGTTTGGGATTTTGTTTTTGTGTTGACTTTTTGTTTTGAATATCAGTGAAGTTGTTATTAATGTTTAATGCTGGTTTTAGTTTAGTTTCAATTAGCTTTTATTTGCCTTTTTTCTCATTCTTTTTTTTTTTTAAAAGAGAATAACCATGATTAGGGCCACGTCAGGATTATATCCGTCCAGCCCTACAGATGTCTTCTTGGTTTTTTGAGTCTTGTGACACTCAGCTGGGTGGGGTAATTGTGGATAAAAGAGCCCTAAAATGTTGTTTACATTATTAATGTATACACTGTTGCTGTACTTAGGTGTGATGATGTGTTTTATGGCCTTAGTTATATAGTGGAAGACACTTTGCTAATGGCTACTACAGGCACACACTTTTGTCAGACTTCCAAAGAGGTTACTTTGTACTCTGTGTACTCTGTGCACCACATATGCTTGCTTTACCTCAATGTCACTAATGTGTTTTTTTCTTGCCTCAGCAGAGCTCTAACAGGAAGACTAGCAACAGTGTTCCTCCCACCACTCAGCTGCTAAAGGGGAAGCAGCCAGGTTCCCAGACACCTGTCAAAAAGGACAAGAGGCAGAGTTCCTCTCGCTTCAGCTTGAGCAACAACAGGGAGCTGCAGAAACTGCCTGCTTTTAAAGGTATTTACTGGTACAGTGACTACAATCTGTCATCCAATTACAAAATGAGGAATAATGAATCCAAAAAGGTTTTGAAACCTGAATTCAGCACTCCAAAATCACTCTAGTGCTAAAACTAGAACTGCCCCCCTAAAGGTATGTGTGGTAAGGGGATCTCTGTAATCTTGACACAGATAAGTGCAGGCCTCATAGACCTGCATACCTGCATGCACACAGTTATTTACTCACTAAAATATCTATGAACCATCCCTGCTGCATCACTCTTATTTTAATACCAAGCTGAGCATGACATTACGCAATACAAGGAAACAGAGGACGTACATGGCATGGACTTTGTGCTGGATTTTATCCAAGTGTCTATATTTAGTGGTAATCCAGAGATAAAGCTTTAATACCATGGTCCCTGTGTTTCAGGATGTTGCCAGTGACCAGCGATGTCTGGTCACTGCCAACACTGTCACTGGCACTTTAGTCCTTCTCTCTTCCCCTGTGTATAGAAGATACATATGTTTTGTATATTTGCAGATGTTTACGGATGTTTACTTAAATGTTGGCATCAGCTTAGCACCAGCTGGAAATAAAAAGAGGTGACACTGCCAATATCCCTCTGGGTTTATAATCTATGCATGAGACTGTGTATGCATGCATGAATACACCAAACAGTGTTGTCTTTACAATCCTTCAAGTATACTGCATTATGGACTTGTGTGTACCTGTGCAAATTGATACAGAATATAAATACATTTAATATGTCAGACAAATACAATAAAACTCAGTGTTCTCTTGGAAAAAAAGCGCAAAGATTTATTGCAGCAAGTTATGCATTCATCATTTGGCAGGTGCTTCCTGCAGTTTAAATGAGAATTATATATCCTCTTACAAAGAAGGACATTTTTTTTCCGATTTGGATTTTTTTGTGTAACTACTAAGGCAACGACAATCTTATGTGGCTGTAGTGACTTGATTCATTTTCGGTGTCTCTATTGGAGAAAGAGAAGTAGTGCGTGTAGGGGCGGTCTAACAGTGTTTCTGAGTTGTTTTGAGTCGCTGTATGTAATTTGGAAATGATCATTTAAAGAGGGAAGCGGCTCTTTCGTGTGTGAGTGGGATAAGATACTACTTGAGAAAGCCATTTTTTCTTATGAAAGACTTATGTGTCTTCTTAAGGCTTTAAAATTATTTCATTTTCTATTATCAAAAAGTATTGATGTGTCACAAGTTGCTCCTGCTGCTGCTTTGGTGACGTATGAATGTGTTTAGTTAATACTTATGCACACTTTACAAAGCAGCCTCTACCACCAGTGTGTGAATGGGTAGGTGTTACCTGCACTGTAAAAGTGCAGAAGACTAGACTACCATACAAGCTCAAGTCCATTAGCTTGGCCTGTTTTTTTACTCCATGCACCTTAACCACCTCTTGATGGAACACATGTCCAAGAGCTGGCCCTGCAAAGCCACAAAGTTGAAGTGTGATTGAAAAGCCTGAGCAACGCAAGCCTTTCCCACAGACAGGCCCCAAAACCAAGGGTGCTCATTGTTGTGGTCATATTTCACATCACTGGTGCCAAAAAGCACAGAACAACAGTTGTTGCCTCTATATGTGTTCTACTTTAGAGCAGGAGCTATCATGCACAAAGCTTCTATTTCATAGGGTTTGTCACCATCTGGTGGTAAGAGTACCAAATATTTCTATCACTGTTACTACTTCAACTAAAGACTTCAAAGTCCAAAGACAGTCAGGACAGTAATGAAATATACACATCTAATATTTAAGCCATGTGAACTGAATAATAAAATAATACAATGAATACTGTAAAGGGGATTTGCAGAATAAGGAATTATATAGTGCATCTAAGTTCATAAAGTATTCTTCTAGTTGTCGACACTTGGACTTTAAAATTTTGTAATGTTTTATCAGGGTACGACAATGATTTGTTTTTAAATATTATTTTTGGATGGCAGGTTGTCTGTAATTTGAAAGGTTCAGAGCTCTTTAGCACGTAGGAGGATGAGTCTCTGGCTTGTAACAGGATGATATGTGACAGGATTATGACATATTTCCTGCAGTCCTCTTTAGCTTTGACCTGTTTCTACACCGTGGAGAAAGATATGAAAAAAAAAAATGGTTTAAGGAATATAAAGCACACCCTACATTGAATCCATTTCTACAGACTGTCTCTCTTTTATTGTTTGCTCAGACACTAAGTGTACTGTTGTGTTTACTTAGCATATAAGACAGAGTCTAAGCAAAATATAAACTGAGTTAAACTTGCAATGGTGCCTCATTTTGGTTCATTCTCTTTAAACATTTCTTGTATGTTTTTCGAACAGTCTGGTTAGAAAATGTCTGACAGCGGGAGTAGTTTAAAGTGACACTGAAACATACAGATATTTATTTAAGTGGCTTGCCTGATATTTAAGCAGGATGCCAAAGGGCAAGGCAGGTTTCAGGGAAGGGTTTCCTCTGCCACCTTCGCAAATGTCAGAGGAAGAGACTGCCACACCACATGAGAACGATTCCCCTTGTCACAAACATCTTGCACAAGCACAGAAACAAAGACGTAGCTCCAAAGGTGTGATCAGGCTGTTGAAGCTGTCGATATCTTTTTTATCAATTGTTAACACAACTCTCATAAGAGTTACTTTAATGAACAACCTTGGTTTGTGCCCACGCTGGATCGTTTTTCACACTTTATTATATTGTCTGATTAGTCAAATTTAACATAACAGTGTAATGAGTGGTTGGTACAGCCTTCAATTTGAAATTGCTGACCTCAGCATACAGACTTGTGGTCATAGGGTTTCATTATAAATAAACAACATTTTTTTTATTGGCTTTCTCCTAAACATTATTCCCAGCATACTTTCAGCCAAGAGTCTGAGCTACTTGGCCTGAAATGTTCAATATTTGTAGGAAAGTAATACAAAGCTGTAAGGCTGCCCCCTTAAAGTCAGGATTCAATGTTAATGATTCACAAGATTTTTACCAGGAGATAATTGCAGAGGTCTACCACTTCTCTAAAGCGACACCTCTGGTGATTATTTCACGTAAACATACTTATTAAAGCAGTTAAACATCAAAATCAGTGTTTCTCCAAACCTTTTCTTAAGTGGAACACAGACACAGGAGACATCAGGAAACACATCGGCAGAGTCTAGGGCTGAGCTGCTGTGGTTTCTGTTTTATCTGCAGAGGTTACCTCCTCTTAAAATAACAGTCCTGGATTTTTTTAAAAAGCAAGTGAAACACTGCATTAAGCAGTTTAATTTAGAAAATCAGCCTGTCCCAACACTCTTTAGAGGCTGTGAGCTAGTCCCCGCCAACCTGTTCCTCTGGCTTAAGCACTCAATCCGATTAAATGATAAAGTCTAAAGTTGTTTTTCTCATTGAAAAAACTTTGGTAAACTTAGCCTTGAAGGTAAATGTGAGACTTCCCCATATAGGATTTCTAAGTCTGATACAAATCAGCTTCTATTACTTAACTAAATCACAGTCTATTTCTGTAAGAGATATCAGATAATGAGTAGTTTAAGGGTACTGATTGGGCTTTCTTATTATCATTGGGAGTTCCCCAAACCCATTTTAGCAGTAAGTGCTTATTATGGAGAACAGTGACATTGAAGATCAGCAGACCAAGACATAAACCGCTCAGCTGTGTATTTTAGGCTGCCTGGCTGCTGTCAATGATATGGATTTAAAGACAGCTGTGATGAAAACTAGCAGGCGCACTCTCCATCTCTTCCACGACGAGAGTCATGTTGTCCAGCAGGTTCACTCTTTCTGCACGAGCAGGAACAGACACAGCAAAAAACTCAAGGCTCATGAACACATTTGCCAAAGAAAGGTTGAGGGAGCATTTGTAACCAGTGGGTGTGTTAAGTGTTGTCCTGGTCAGAACAACAGATCTACTGATGGGAGAGTTCCCCATGACCAGAGAACAGAGTGATAAAGAGCCCTTTATTTGCTCAGACTGGACCTAGCCAATAAAAAGCCCCACTGTTGCATATGTATGGATCGCCAGACTTCATACTGCAGTTCTGCTCAACTCTTAATTTGGATTTCTGACTAGATCATTGTGCTCATTGCTGACAATTGTCAGGCCTTATATGGAATTGAACAACGATGTACTTTCATTCATATGAAATGTATCAAAGTACAAGTCCTGTATTTGTGTGCAGCTTGTTGGCTGGCTGGTGAGCCCGCTATTCTGATTGTCTGAAGAGCAGCAATTCATTGTTGGGTGGTTGAGTATGACAAGTGAGCTCCTGTATCATACTCAGAATAGCATACTATGACTTTAAACGCACTGCCTTTGCAGTTCAAAATGAATGGAACTAACGATTAAACTGATATCGAAGTTAACAGATTTAAATGAGTAAAATTTTTGATGAACTGTGCCCACCTCTGTGAATTACACTATCTGTGTGTAATAAAGTTGAACTTTTTAGTCTTTGCATATTAATCAAAAAGAGTTAAGACGGTAATGATTGTTGCATAATGACCTTCCTATGTGTGGTTATTAAAGAAAGGCCTCTTATCTAATGTGTAATAGTGCAGAATAACACAGGCATATGACACATTTGAACGTGTTTAACGGAAGAACACATTGCATTGGCATGTTTTTTTTTCATGGTCTTAGTGATTCAAAAGGTGCTTGGTGTTATCATTGTTCCTTTGTAAATATGTATGTATGCCAACAATCCATAATCAGAACGAGTTACTCTGTTTGCTTTATTTGAAGGCTTATTGAATTCATTTGTAACTGTGACTTTAGTGCGTTTAACTGTCTGCCTCACTGTAGATTTGCTCTTTTCCTGCACAGCTACACAGTGCTGCTCACTACATCCTGTGTTGCTCACATTGAGACTTCCTGCCTTCCTGTTTCTCTGTCATATACACCTGGGCTCAGGCTGTGGTCCTGGAGAGCCATCTGTCATGAAAGAGCTCATACACAAAGATAGCACACACAAAGAAGAGGCTGTTAGCTGACTAACAGTTT